GCTTTCGGGATATGGAATTACTGGTTTCCATGGGGAACGCTGCAAATCTGAATTAATAAATGGCTTGTGCTTTGGATAGTCTATAAATGAAGCTGAAGAGAGTCCATCTGTGGCTGATGTAGAGCTCTGAGTGTTTTGCAGATCATTCTGAAAACAAAATAAAGCTGTTATTCAGCACATTTGTTTCTTTGTCACAACAACAAAAATAAAGAAAAGTAAGATTCTATCAGATGATGTGTAGAAATACTGTTACAGGAGACTCATATCTAAAAGGCTGTACATCCTAGCCTTAGGATGTGTCATTTTACATCCAACTCCCCCTCCACTAAAAACAGTATCAACCAGAACAATGTCTTTTCCTTACTAGTTTCTAATTTACACTTTTTTTTTTTCCATTTACTTGTACTGTCTACTACTTACTGGGAGAAGGCAATCCACAATCTGCTGGAAAACAAACACCTTCTTAATGTCTGGTTACATCTACTGACAAGATAGTGCACTAAGGTGGCCAAACCTGATAAGGCACACCCGGGACCATGGTCCTGCACCCCCTGATGTAACACAAGAGCTCACTGACTGCACATGGGGCACAGGACACTGCAGCTGGGAAGGGGAGGTGAGAGCCCAAATCCCTCCAACTCCACTCACTTCCTTATTCATTCATTTTCCTTATCTTTCCATTAGTAAATGGAACTTCACAAGACTTCACATGCAGGTGACTTTATGCTACACCTGATTAGTGGTATCAGCACTGGAAAACCAGCAGATCACATCCTGCCTCTAAGCAGTAATGTACTCTTCAATCAGCTTCAGACTGTTCTGAAAAACATGGCTGTAGAAATCATGGATTTCCCAGCAGTCTGCACCAATTCTGCAAACACCTGCTGTGCTTTGGATGTTGCAATGACCTGAAAGGACCACCAGCTGGGAAGATGCTCTTCTAAATAGAGGAGACATGGCAGAATTGTGGGTTTATGGTTTTGACTCAAAAACTGTCTACCTGGCCTAAGCTTTAAAATACATATATACAAATTAGATGAAATGCTTATTTTTAACTTATCCCAACTGCACCCATCACTAAACAGTTCAGTGATAGAATTTGAAAGCACCCTAAGAGAGGTGGGCTCTAGGCAGATGTAAAGCTCCTACCGCTTCCCTGTTCCTCAGTAAGTAAAATGAGCAATTGCTGATCGTGGCAGGGTGTTTTTACACTTTTGCATACCAATCATCAAGAGCATATAATGACCTAAATTAAAATACAGAAAGTATTAAGTATCTCATAGCAAATTACACAACAGCTCAAAATGCATTATGAGAAGCCAAATACGGGGGAAAACATTAAGAAATGTTTTAAGTTATTTAAAGCCCATACACAGCTGATTTCCTCTTATAAACACAGTGATTCATTGTGAGCAAGAAAATCAGGATCCGAACTATTCTGAGTGTATAAATTGGTGTTTCTAAGCAGTTTTATTTATTAACAGCTTTGCAGTTTGCTTTTATAATGTTTTCCTACACAACATAACAGCTTTTCTCAAAATAACTGCATTTGCACACACATTTTCTATGACAGAAAGTGAATTAACACTAATCCCTAATCAAGAATATTTCAATAAAATTATTTTGAACAGGTGTTTTATTCATAGACACATTGTTTCACACTCAGCAGCCTCACAAGTCTAACCAGAACACATGAATCCACCTGATCAAAAGCCTGTTAGGTGCTAACATCAAAAATGTCATCAGCGTTACAGGATATGGCATTGATGAGCACACAATAGTAAGACCAAATGATGGAGCAAGAATGAACCAAGCAAAACACAGCAATTCTGCAGCAGGCAGTACAGGAACAGCAGTAACATAAGCTTCAGCAACCCAAACAGTAACTATCGATTCAAATATCAATACCCTGTCTGCCACTGACTAAAACCAAAGGTACCCCATCAAGCAGTCAAAAGAAAAAGGGGAATCAGCTTGAAGCCAAAGCAGGGCTGACAGCATCACAATCCTTCTAGATCTCACTATCATCTTTTATGTCTTCACAGGTAAAGTCTTGTCTAAAAATAAAATGTAACTGCATAAAAACACCAAAGTAAAGGAATTCTTCTGTTTGTTTTTACTGCCATAAGTAACATTTTCCTAGCCAACAGCAGACTAACCAAAAGAAAAAGCTGGTGTACTTAAAATCCTGGAGCACCGAAGTAACACAAAGCAAAGCAAATTGAGTCTTTTGGCTGGTTACATGTCTTCTAAAGTCCACCTGGATGCAGGCAATAGGTGCTAATTTGAACAGTCAGTAACAGTAATTTGAATAGTGTAATAGTCAGTATAGATACCGGCTTCAGATAGCTACTGAAAAAATTTGTGTTGGAATATACTGTATTAATACACAATCGCTCTTTTTTTTCCATCTAAATAATTTGCTACCACATATATTTTTCTTACCTACTTTTAAGCAAAAGAGTGGCTTATACTCAGTTTCATTAATAGCAACTTTAAATCATTTGACTGAATACTTTGGGAAAGTTTACCAAACAGCATCAAGGAATTTCCCATCACAAAGCTCAAACATCACAGTGATTCTCTGCTCTTCCCCCCATCTCTCAAGTTTAATTGGTTTTTAATTTAATTTAAATTAAAATCCATTCAAATTTGTTCCTGCTCTTGGAATGTCTCACTGATGCTCTGATGATCAGGAAAATAAAAAAAATCAGGAAACTCTATATATTTGTTCTGAATCTCAGCCAGATCATGTTTGCTAACTACATCTCCTCTCTTTCAGGGTACTCCTCATAGTCTTTAAGCCACACTAAAGCCTCAGAGTAGTAAATGAAGAAGCTTAGCAGTCGCACAAGGAGGCAAGTGCATCCTATTACGTAACAGTGAGCTGAGCACTTCTTATCTCCACAGGTCTGAGAACACTGCCTTCCAAAATTCATGGTTTTCACCACTGCATATCAGCTGCCTCCTCAAGCAGAAAGAAGGGAATATTGAAAACACAGACCAGAGATAACAAATCACCAGCACAGGGCCCTCCCAAAGCTCTCAAAGGCTAAACACAGTGGGAGGAAAACAAAGACATAAACTCATACAGAAAGTTTTTAAACAAGGATTAAATTAGAATGGGTGCTATTGCAAGTTCTCATCTGGGTGCTCACAACCAAAAAAACAAAGAAAAAAAGATTGATACCTGGCAATGCTTTAAGCAGCACACAGCAGCCTTTGCACATGGTTAAAAAAAAAAAAAAAAAAAAAAAAGAAAAAGCCAACCCAGGAAAATTATGTAGGGAATGAGAAAAAACCCAAAAATAATGGGATACTAAATGTAGTGACTATAAAACATCCAAGTACCTAGTCATTCAAACTAGGAAAGGGGGGAAGGACAGCTCCTATCACCCACAGGCCAATTTAAGTGCTGGCTGTGCCTCCCTGATAGAGACTGAGTCAGGAGCACTTACATTTCAGTAACGTTTCTAGTTAAAAGCAGACATGAGAAAGTTAACTTAGTTAAGCAATTACATCAAATGGAGAGGAAAAAATGTTGGCACAATACAGTAATTTTTGCCAACTATCTACCATGGTGTACCAGATGTATACAGTAGGTAACTTTTTTCCCAAAAGTTTTGTTTGGCTAACCAAATTTATTAAATAGCCTACATTTACCTACTGAAGACTGAAACAAGTCTTCTGACAGCGCTCTCCAGGCATGCTAGAAACAATTTTGGTCAGGAAAGAATCCTCAAATTCCTCTTGCTGGTCCAGGTGTAAGCATGGGAGCACACTGCAGGGCAGGAGACACCCAAGAGAACCCCACGCTGGGCACTCACACCCAGCAGTGAGACCCCAAACCCGCACAGGAGCGGACCAGCCCACTGCAGGCTTTTCACCGCATCTGCTCCTCCAACGCGCGAGTAAGACACAGCTTCTCGCGCCAAAAACAGCCAAAACAAGGAAAAGCAACTAAAAACGCAGCTTATTCCAGAAAGCTGCAAACATCACTGAGCCCGCCCGCCCCGAACAGCTGAGCCCGAAGCCACGGCCCCGGGACACGTCTGGGAACAAACCAAAGGCAGCATTTTGTTCCATTCACCTGCAAAAACCATCTCCAGACGCTGGCGTGGGGACAGAAAGATACTCAATAACAGAGTATCATCTTTTTTTCTGTCGCTTTAGAAAACATGCGCGAATGCACCACAGATTTACACATACATATATACATGCAAACATATACACGTGTGTATATATGCATGTATACACACACATACATACATATATATATACATACGCACACATAAACACCTATACACACGCGTAAATACACACACACACACATATATATACACGCATCATTTAACAGACAAGCCAGTTCCCACAGCCTGTACGGCTCCCGGCACGTAAGCCGCCAGCCCCGCACTGCCCGGCCGCTGCCCCCGGATTTCACAAGGCGCCTGCCCGTCCTGCTCCTCACCGCGGAGAGACGCTCTCCGAGCCCCAGCGTGTGCTGTCGGCCGCCCCTAGCTGCCGCCATGTCGGCCATAAGGGAGCCCGCTCCGGCCCATGTCACTTTAAGGCTCGGCACCCGCGCGGCAGCTCGCTCGCTCGCTTGACTGCTATCCCAGCCTGCCAATGAGAAGGGAGGACCGCGCGTAAGTCCCGCCCCGTCTTCCTCTCAGCATTGATTGACACGGCAATTGTCCAATAAGCGAAGAGCGAGGGCGCCGCTCGGCCAATCGAGAGGGACGGGCGGCGGGCGAGCCCCTGGAGCCAGCGGCGCGGGCGGGGGGGCGGCGCGTGGGCACGCGCGGAGGTAGGATGGCGGAAGAGGCCGGCCTTTGTCAGAGGAGCCCCCGCGCCTGGGCCAATGGCAGCGCAGGGGCGCCGCCGCCGCCCGGCGCAGGGCAGGGCGCCCGCGGCGGGATTGGCGGCGGCGGGGCCGGCGGGGGCGGCGATTGGGCGGCGGCGTTCGAAGGCAGGTTTGGCGCGGGGCGGCGATTGGCTGCGCGGGCGCAGCGCGAGCCCGGGCCCGGGGCGGAGGGAGGGAGGCAGAGAAGGAAGGGCGGGGGGCGCGCGCGGGGTGACGCCGCCGCCGCCGACACAAGGGGGACGCGGGCGGGCGGCGCGCGGGGCCCAGGGCGGCACCGGCGGCAGCGGCTCCGGGACGGCGGCGGCGGCCCCGGCTCCTCCTCGGCGGCCCCGGCGGCCGCTCCGTCCCTCGCCCCGGCGGCACCTCCCCATTCCCCTCCCTCGGCCCGCCCGTGTCCGCCCCGCCGGATGGCGGCGGCGGGCGCGGCGGCCGCCCCGGCGCTTTATGCCTGCACCAAGTGCAACCAGCGGTACCCGTTCGAGGAGCTCTCGCAGGGCCAGCAGCTGTGCAAGGTGCGGCGGCGGCCCCGGCCGGGGCTGCTGTTGGGGCGGCGGGCGGGGGCGGAGCGGGGCCGGGGCTCGGCGGGCAGTAACGCGGCGCTGTCCCCGCAGGAGTGCCGCATCGCCCACCCCATCGTGAAGTGCACCTACTGCCGCTCCGAGTTCCAGCAGGAGAGGTACGGCGAGCGCCTGCCCGGGGCCGGGCGCGGTGGCAGGAGCTGGGCCTGGCCGGTCCGGAGAAGAGCAGGCTGAGAGGGGATCCCATCAATGCATATAAATATCTCCGAGGCGGGTGCCAAGCGGGTGGTGCCAGGCTCTTCGCGGTGGTGCCCAGCGACAGGACCAAGAGCCGTGGCCATAAACTAAAACACGAGAAGTTTAACCTCTACATAAGAACTTATTTACGCTGAGGGTGGCAGAGCACTGGATCAGGCTGCCCAGGGAGGTGATAGGGTCTCCCTCTCTGGAGACACGCAGAATCTGCCTGCACGCCTTCCCCTGTCGCCGCTCTGGGTGACTCTGCCTTGGAGGTCCCTTCCAACCCAACTCTTCTCAGAGTCTGTTAGCAAGTAATTGCATGGGGAACAATGTCAAAGTGCATGTTTGCCACCTAATTCAATGATGTGCCATTTTATCTCTTTAGCAAAACCAACACAATATGCAAGAAATGTGCCCAAAACGTGAAGCAGTTCGGAACGGTGAGTAATTACTTGGTTCTTTATGCTTAAGTTGAGGTTGTTTGTGCTTCAAACCGAAAACAAAATTCTCTTGCTACTAATCTTCTTATTTTCTTTTGAGAAAAAAAACCCAAATCCACACTATAGATTGCCATCCAGAAAGGTGATGGAAAAGCCTGACATCTGCTGATTTCCTCTGTGGGCTACTGTTTCTTTTCCCAAATTGAAATCCATTTGGGTAATATATAGCTTAACAGTTAAGAATAATTTCAATATAGCTATTTGTAACAAAGCAATGTTATTTCACACCATACACATTCCATTATTCCGTGCATATTTTCATAAGCACATGCTTCATGGCAGGAAGACCATTAGTTCTCATTGTTCTCAACAAGTGGTAAATGTGAAAGTCTAGTAATACCGCATACTTTATATAATGCAAGTCTTAAAAAATGCATGTTAATCGTGTTAAGCTAATAGGTACAAAAGATTTTGAGTTTATCGGCATTCATGTTATTTTATATTTTCTCATATTGAATTTTAGCTTCTGTTGGAAAAATGAATTTTTCTATCATATGAATGCACACATTGTATCTGAGCTACCCTACAGATAGGAATTTTTAGGAGGTATCAAGATAATCTTCTTGTGAAACAAAAAGGCATGACTTCACTATATTTGACATAAACCATATTAGTTGAAATTCAGCTTATTTGAGAAACGTAATAGTTGTTGGTATGTAGTCAGGAACTTTGTGAATGTGTATGTAAACTGAACAAAGAATTGCTTTCAAAAGCTTAAATTGCAGCAAAATGAATTGCAGGACAGAACCATCAACTATTTTATCAGTAGTTCATAAAAAAAAAGAACTGCACTGAAGATAATCAGCCTCTTCTAACCTATGAAAACTGACATCAAGTTTATTTTTCAGCACACTATTAGTCTAGTTGAGTGTGTGATATAAAAGTTGATAACCTGACCTGATAGTTCAGATCTATTTGATTGCTTTTTGTTTGGTGGTGGGGTTTTTTTGTTTTGTTTTGTTTTTTTTAAGTTTCCTGTAGAATTTCAGGGATTAGGATACTAATCTTGGAACTGCAGGGTTATTGAATCCCTGAGGTTTGCAAAGGAGAGGGATGCCATCAGAGACTTCCAGTCAAAAAAAAAAAAATCACTTGATTACTCTTCTTTTAAAGTTGTGCAAGTAATTTCTTAAGTAGTGTGGTAAAACTGAGAGAAAATATATTTTAAAAAATATATTTAAAAAAATAAAATGCAGTAGGTGTAGAGATTAGTAACCAGATAGATGTGTGCTTCTCTTTTTGTGTCTGGGTTTTCATGGAAAGTCTAGGCTGGTTTTAACCCTTGCAGAAGCATCACTTTAGAGGAAAGTTTTAATTCTGAAGTTAAAAATGGTAGGAAAAAGGTTCCTTAAGGTAGGTTATTTGAAACTCTTCCAGTATCGAAGCATGATTGTATGAATTGAAATAGCAGAATTTTCATTACTGCAAATACAAATGTATTGACTTCAGTTCAACTTTTTTTTTTCAGCCCAAGCCTTGTCAGTATTGTAACATTATTGCAGCATTTATTGGCACAAAATGCCAGCGTTGCACCAACTCAGAGAAGAAGTATGGCCCGCCCCAGACCTGTGAGCAGTGCAAACAGCAATGTGCTTTTGATCGAAAAGAGGAGGGAAGAAGGAAGGTAGGCTTTGTTCCACATCCCTCATGGCTTAGGCTGACAATAGTGTTCCTCTTTCAGAAGAGAAAGATTAACAGGAATGTATCTTAAGTTCTCTAATACTAGATTCAAGTTGCTGATCTGTGCTTTACAATATTTTAATTAAATTTTGTAACTTGCAATTGTTATTTTAGCTACTGAGCTAACTTTTAATTAAATCATTTTTTGTAAAAAAAGGCATAAGTGTTAGCAGACAGTTGTAGCTGGGGAACAGAAGTTAAGCAGCTCAACAGCTCCTCATGTTTTGATATTTATTTTACTTTTTTTCCTATCTGTTGAATCTCTTGTATGTTCATAACTTGAATCTGACACTTTACCTCGTCTTATTTGCCTGCCTTGCCTTTAAGTAGAGCACCAGAGAGGTAGACTGCTCTGAGCAGCCCTTTGTGTTCTGTTTTGTTAAATAGCTTTGGTGAGTGCCACTTTCTCATTCCAGAAGGTGCTGAGAAAATGACCTCAAAAGCCTCTTGACTGAACCCAAGGATAATGCTGTTTTTACAGAAGAATTTACTTGGTACAAGTAACAACGTTGTAAAAAAGACTGGTCCTTTTGAAAAGTTTTTGTAATTTCTGCAATGTAGAGCAGGTCCAAAAATTGCTAGGACTCTTTGTAGCATAACTTTAAAGGACAAGTGGAATAAGATTCACTTTACTAAAAGAAACTTGCATATCCTGGAGATACAATAATGATGTTTCATAACAAAGATGTCTGGTTTTCCCAGTGATAATGGATGAAGTGAAACAAAATCTTCTTGCAAACATTGAGTACATCTCTCTAGTGCAATATACTTGGAAATAAAACCTGAATTATTTCTCAAAAGGTTGATGGAAAGTTGTTGTGTTGGCTCTGCACACTGTCCTACAAGAGAGTGCTACAGAAGACAAAAGAACAGAGGAAGAGCCTGGGATCTTCACATTCTAACTCTTCATCCTCATCTCTTACTGAGAAAGACCAGCATCATTCAAAACACCACCACCATCACCACCATCATCATCGTCACAGCAGCAGTCATCATAAGTAAGTATTTCAAAAATTGAAATAGTTGTTGGTAGCTCTTCATCTTCTGTGTTCTGTTTGTACTGAGTTGTAAGCAAAACTATTTAAAGCATGGTTTTAAAAGCAGTAGCAGAGAATTGTTCTTCATGGTCTTTCATAATCCTTGGATTCCTAGAGTTTAAATGAAGATGGTTAATTAGAAAAAAAAAGAGAATTCTTGGTGATTGTCAAACTAGTTGATGTTAAAATTGGTAAGAAGGCTAGTAAAAAGGCTCATGGAGTGGCTATAGAAACAAGTTACTTGAGGGCAAACTTGTATTTGGGTGGTTTCTACACAGCAACTGCTGTGTGGTATCTGCATTTGCCAAAGGTGTGTTTTAGCAGTGAGAATCTTCATCCTGACTCACTTCACCCTGACTTATTTGTGTACAAATACTCACCGTTAAGAGGAGAAGCAGAAACAACAGTGTGGGATTGCCTTCAATCTAGGACCAGTTTGTACCTCTTTGCTAGCTTTTATAATCAAGTCTTGCTGGAGTAGGCAGTTTGGGAGTGGCTGTGATACAGACATAGGGACATAAGACTGTCAGTTCAGTTACTGTCACTCTAATAACATTTAACATAGTTTTGTCCTATTTTCTGCAGCTTTTCTCAACACATCGTCTCTGGCCGTGGCATAAACAGCATATCAACCTTAATGTACATACCAAATTTAATCAGTCATAAACTCCAGAATTCATTTTGGATTTTGTGCTGCTATGATAGTAGTTATTATTCTTATTTTCATTGATAGATTTGTGACAGCATAACTTCAGAATTACTTACTTTTTGTGTTTGATAGTAAATACTGTGTCTGCAGTGGTAATGATCCTGATCCCAGGCACACAGACACTTTCCTTCTAAACTTCAATTTCTAGTGCTTATGATTTTTAATCTTGTCTGAAACTTGCCTAAGTGTGACTTAAAGATAGAAGCAAAATAAGATGAAATTATTTTGTTAATGAGTAAAAGAGAAAGGCTCATACTTTCACTTTAAAAAAGAGAGAAGATTTAGTGTTTTAGGAATTAAAAAAAAAAATTATTCTTGTCTATGCATAGAGTTATTGTACTGTTCCTGTACTTTCAAATCTCTGCTGAAAATTTAATTACAGAAAGTTAAATCTAATTTAATGCTTTTGGCACAGGTACAGTAGGGATTAAATAATAAAAAAAAAAAAGCTCTTTACTACTGGACAGAGCTTCTGATATACTCAAGACTTAAAACAGTACGCATATCGCTACAGATCACAATGTTCCTGGTTCCTGGCTTCCCACCTCTTTTTTCTGTAGACTGCCACAGGTCCATTGCTTCTGGTCCAATTAATAAAACTCTTTTCCCCTGACCATTTCAGTTTTTGTTAAGATCAGACAATAGAGACAATGAGGTAGAAATACAGAATCTTTGAACTGTTTTACTTAGTGCATTCTTCTTCATTCTACCATTCCTGTATCAGTGTTCTTTATTAGTTCCTTTTGAAACAATTGAAAACAAATGGTTACACCCAAGGAGCAATTATTTTCAGGGATCCAAAACTTAACTTTACTCTTACGATGCCAAATGAGCACCATTTCAGGCAATGTTCATATGGCAGTATGGGAATCCCAGGAGAGCTGCTAGCTGGCTGAATACAAGATTAGCAAGACAAAGTTCACAAAAATTGTGAGGTATCAGCAAAAAGGTTTAGCCATCAGTCTTGAGGTCTACCCCTTGTGACTTGTGATAGTGTAGATATTTAGCAGAGAAATAATTCTATAGCATCCTGACATACTAAACCATGACCAGGAACTCCAGTGTCCAACTGAAAATTCAAAAATGCTTACCATATTAGGAAAAAAAGGGGGGGAAGGATTTTTCCCTAATACAGATACCATTCATGTAAACTTACAAATAATGTCGTGTTTGATCAGTTACCAAGTACGTTTCACATATTTCAGAATCAGCAATCTGAGTCCAGAACAAGATCAGGGACTATGGAAACAGAGGTAAATATTATATTATTTATTAATTTTCTTTTAATTTATCTTGCCGTTTTTATTTAAATAATTTCTTTGTTCTTGCATTTCTGGCTAGTCTCTAGCATTCCACCTAGGAGCATGAGTTAGTTTTTTTTCATGTACCAAATGGTGATATTAGAGAGTTGCATAGTACGAGGCTTTAGGTTTACATTTTGTTTGATTTCAGCCATAAATCCTCTGCAGCTATTCAGAATGAAACTCCAAAGAAAAAACCCAAACTGGAATCCAAGCCATCAAATGGAGATAGGTAAAGTTACATTTTTGTAAAGCTGAGCCATTTCAACCAAAGAGAGCACTGATTTGTGGCCAGTTGCCTTTCTTTGTTTGCCTGAAGAATGAGGGATGTGAAACTTGTGTCCTGCCAGATGGATTATTGGGTGGCATCTGAGTGCTGTCAGTCAATTAAGTTACTTTATTTGCAGAAAACTAGCAGTTATTTTCCTGCTTTTAAGCTGTTTGGGGCAAAATTAAACAAAGCTTATGTATAAGGTAACAGTTATCAACCCAATGGTGTTCCCTCACATTGGGAAATTGTTTGATCAGTTAGATGCAGGGTAGAACCTGCTGCTTTAAGCTAGCCCAGTATCTAGAGAATTATTTTGAACTTTAATGTGTGAGCCTGAAACTTTATTCTGTCTCTGGCCAAATGGTCAGAATGTAAGTTTAAAGTGGCTGCTTCAGTCAAAAGGTATTTGTCCCCCTCAAAAGCTAATACTGAATTATATTTCTGCAGGTGTATGTAATGTGTGCCATTAGTAAGGTAATTTGCCAGTTGCATCCATTTCTGTCAGGTACATACTTTTTTTGCATTAGTCCTTAAGGATGTTTATGGAATTATTAATTATTGAATTTGATTTTTTTAAGTGGTTTTCTTTTTTCTTTTGACGCTGTAAGTAACTCTTGGTTTTCATTTTTAGTAGCTCTATAAATCAGTCTGCAGACAGTGGAGGAACTGACAACTTTGTCCTCATAAGTCAGCTGAAAGAAGAAGTAATGTCACTTAAACGTCTTCTGCAGCAAAGAGATCAGACTATTTTAGAGAAAGATAAAAAGGTAAAAATTGCACCTGCTTAATAAGAACTTTATAGTTTTGTTTTCTGCTTTGTAGTCTCCTAAAAATGTCAAAACAATAAGATAACAAAAATCAGATACTGTCGTTTTATATAGCAGCTAATCAGATCGTAACATGTGAAGGAAAACTTTTGGACTTTTGTATCATGAATATATATTGTTTATTAGGTCAAAGAGTAATTCATCTTACCTCACTTCAGCCTTGAAGAAGTTAGCCTATTACTCAGGCTGCATGCCACAGGTCATGGATAAAGTGCTGGACAGTAGTTTGCATGTTTTACATGCTCTTAACTGAGTCATGGCAAGGAGTAGTAACCATACTGAGTTTAGCATAGTTTTTATTTAATTTTAGACTAAAGCAACTCTAGCTATAATAATGTCCAAATTTACATTTGTAGTGTTTGAAAATTAAGTGGTTTGTTTTCATAGGATTAGTAAGTATGTGTACTGTGGGTTGTCAATCTTTGTGGGTAGTCGGAGACTAGAAGAAAAGCTTGGATTAAGTGGCTGTCCGTCAGCAAAAGTTAAGTGAAATCGTAGGCCCGAGTGGCTGCAGCAGAACTCTTACAGAAGATTCACCCTTCAAACAAACTAATGGCTAACAAGAAAAGAGAAATAACAACAAATACACAACTTGATTTACATTTATTTTATTTCTCTGCCATCTGAATAACTATGTGCATTCTAGAGCCACTGTAACAGTGGCTCTAGAATGTCTGTTCAGGATTGAGTAGGTTATGGAATTGCATTCCAAACAAATTTATTGGTGTTTTAACTAAAATTTTGGTTGTGAACGCATAGTGGCCTACCAAACATTGATGGTTAAGAAAGACCCATTCATACTGAAAGGAAAATGCTTCCACTTTTAAACCATAGTTCAGTATCTTCATTTCTACACATAGCTGTGTTTTGTAAAGGATATTGAACCTATTTTCATTTATGTCACTGTTAATATATACCTAGTGTTGGAAGTACTTGCTATTTAAGCCTTTAAGTGTCTAATGTGAAAGAGCAGAACAGTCTGTCATGAATTCTCTTTAGGTGTTTTCTTCAGAGGACAGACATTAGGCCCTGATCTCTCTCTTATAAAGCCAGGAGAAGATCATGAGTCAGTAGGAAATTCACTTATCTCTTTTTATTTTCAATCTACTGGGAAAAGCTAACAAAAGTGGTAGGTAAGGAAATGTCACCTACTTCTGCATAACCACTGCAGTGGCTTATTTTGTGCTGTTTCCATAGGGAGAGCATCTATTGAGTTTAATATCCCCGCTGCTAAAACTATTTGACTTCAGAGTTCTTCAAACTTAGTCTCCTTCGGGCACAAAGTCCTCACTTGCACTGAGTGAAGTGCAGAGAGAGGAGGGAAGTGATACCTGACTCAGCACTGGGGAAAAAAATCCTCTCTATTTGAGTAGCGCTCAGGCACCAATGTGAACCCCCAAACTCAGGGCTGGTAGAAATGATATCTATGAAGAAATGACATCTGGAATTTCTGGAGAGATTAGGAGGGTCCAACCCAGCCTATGCATCATTTTAGCTGCTAAAATTCATGGAATTATATGAGGGTTGGAGGGAACCTTAAAGATCATCGTGCCATGGACAGGGACATCTCCCACTAAACCAGGTCACTTACTTTTTCAGCTGCTGCAGGGAGGACAAAAAGCTGTACACATTATACAGCAATCCATAGGCTGAAAAAATTGCAACAAATGAACATACTGCAGATTTTTTTTTTCACTGTGAGATAGTAAGTTCGAAGACATGTACTAGGTGAAAAGCCTTAGCCATACCTGTGGGAGATTGCTGTTAAGGTCATGTCTCAAGATTTGTGAGGGACAGCATTTGAACAGTTTTGAATGCTCCTAAAGTAAAACATCTGAATTGTATAGCATGGCAACAAAAACAGCTCAGTACACCAGCTTTACAGATAATACTTATTCATCACTTTCTGTTAAGAGTCAAGGTATCAGCCATGTCATTATCAGTGCTTATTATTTGCAGTACTAGCCTTGTTTGCCTTTCTGCACAAAAGGGTAACGAGAAACCAAAACATTATCGTGGGGCCTTGAGACTTCATTATTAGGACAGGACCACAAATTGCTGAGTGTTCACAGGTAGTGTGTTTGCTTGGCTATTTGCATACTTCACTGTGGTTCGACACTACCATAGTTTTTTTTTTTTTATATTTAGTGTGAGCTATGTGGGTTTGCACCAGATGCCCTGTAGTCTACAACAGCCATAAGTGCATGCCTTGAGCAGCACTGTGTGTTCAGTGAGTTATGTACCATTATAGCAACACAGCTGCATTTCACCTGGTTACCTGTTCTTTTGAGCAATGTCTCTTACACTACATGTGATTTAAGACAAACTAAAGTTGGCAATAGCAGTCTTGGTAGTCACTTTAGGAGGGTATGCTCTGGTTTGTTATGGCAGGCATCTTTGCTAGCAAAGAGGCTTCATTTCCTAATAAATCTGGAATGTATACATTGTATATATTTTCCCTTCTGCTTAGGACAAAATGTAGTGTAGAAGGACACAAAAACATCTTTTTTATAATCTTTGTAGGAAAGATTTTTTTGGGTGTTACCACACCATATAACTGAGAGATGTAACTGAAGATTGTGGTAAGCATCTCACAGCTGAAAGAACAGCAAACGTTATAAATCACCAGTCTTGTATTTGAATTTTTTTTTATTGAGGTTTAGCCTATTCTATACAAAATCCTGATCCAACAGTACGGTTATATGACTACAGTTGCTTTCTGCATAGAAAATAGGTATACACATTTTTCAAACTGCTTCTCAAGCGCTGAGCTGTCAATACTGCAACAGTAAATAAATACAGTGTTTCCTGAGATTCCTGAGCCTTTGCTGACGATTTCACATATTGACTAGAAGATGTATCCTGTTGCAGTTCAAGGAATCTTCATAAGATCTGTGTTTTTAAGTTGACAGAATTGAAGGCAGACTTCCAGTACCAAGAGTCCAACTTGAGGACAAAGATGAACAGTATGGAGAAAGCTCACAAGGAAACTGTGGAACAGTTGCAGGTGTGTAATTGCTTATCAGTGCTTGGGAAAAACTTCTCATGGAATCATATATTCAAGCTGTTCACTCAGCATGTTCACTCAGGATTGTTCACTCAATACAGTAGTACCAAGTTCATGAGTGGTCATTGCCGTGCTTAACTTTGGATGCATTGTACAGCAGTTCTGCAGTTAACAGACAGTGTCCATATGAGTTAAACTCACTCTTTGAACTTTAAAAGGTAAAGCCTTACCTTACATGCTTTCTCAAAGTTTATTTTTTGTGTCTGTTCTCTGACAATTTATCAGTTGTCATTGGGCTATGGATCTGGTTTAAGCATTCAGCATTAACACAATGGCAGCTAGATGTCTCTTGTTAAAGTATGCTTTATCAGGAGGAAAGCCTGAATTGGTTGCCTTACAAATCACAGACTGAGCAGACACTCAGTGCAATAGTGGATATACTAAATTGTGAGATGTGGGGAGTGTGGTTACTTTCTCTGTTGAAGATAGACTATGCATGTCAAAAAACATACACAGATCTTTGAAAAGTGATCATTACCTTCTCTGAATGTTCTTAGCATGTACATTTTGAGAATTTGTTCATAAATGCAACGTGCATGACACTACTATTTCAGTAACTCATACTTTTTTAATTTGTATTGCAGGCCAAAAACAGAGAACTGCTCAAACAGGTTGCAGCATTGTCAAAGGGTAAAAAGTTTGATAAAAGTGGGAATATCCTCACATCTCCTTGAGGAACTCGTTCTTTGTGGGGTTTGCTACTCAATGTACATTTGAGTAATTCTGTGAAGCCCTTAAAATCCTGTGTAGTGGAAAAAATATTTTTGCACACCAGATTAGTTGGCATGTTTCCTACATGTTTTTATAATTAATATGCAGCATTTTTTAGTTACTGTTCAGATGAAATACTTCAACTGGCTTGAAGAATGTTTTTATTTTTTTGAAAATATTGGAAACCTTTTGCCAGCAATAGTATTAAACAATTGCATAGAGAACATAGCAGTGCTCTCTCTGAAAGGACAACATGCAATAACAAACTAGGTGTACTTTTTACAAAGTAGCAACTGAGTCTTTTAAACTACAATGATGTCAGCCAAAAGTTCATGAATCTGCAGTGACGCTGAACACTGATTTCTGGCAACTGTTCTTTTACTTTGTATGAAAATATAAATTTGGAATGGAAATCATGGTGCTCTCAAGTGGAACTAAAAAGAGGCATATATGTATGTGTAAATACGACTGTAACGGTTATATTCTTAGTTATAACAAGTAATTAGTGTTTTACATTCTTGTGATAGAGACTGACTGAAAGATTATCTATTGTACAGTAACAGAGGCAGTGTGGTTTTTGTAAGATTTACTGTAGACTTTTCTTGCAAGTGCCTTTCTCCAACTGTTTATTTATAGGAATGTTGGTATTTTGTACATACGGTTTTTATGTTTTAAAAATCATGTTTAATAAATGTTTTATGTAAATATAAATGTGTGTACAGAGGAATCTGAAACAAAGATCAAAGTGGCTAGTGCAGTGCTCGAGGCAGCATTAAGATCTGGCTAGCTGATTGATGGACAGTGAGTATTGGCTTTAGATAACCTTTGTAGCTTGTGTCTGTGAGGTGTAGAATTTTATTAGTGCTGCTTATGCCAAATACTTCCTGAACAAAAAACAATTTTTTTTTTGCCACACTGGAGTTTCATGGTTTGTTTATACATTTTTCCCATTTGGCACAGCACTAATTTTAATTCCATAGCAGACATTGTTCTCCAATATTACATCCTTAGCTAGTGATACACACTCGAAGTTTTAAATGCATTTATTCCCCATTGTCTGAATTAACGTACTTGGTTGTAACTCATGGTGATTCTTCTTAATGAACTGCAAGATTCACATCCCCCACTGAAGATGCACACTGAGAAAAGAGTAGCCAAAACTAATGGTCTTAAAATTAATTAAGGGAATGGATGTGGTGTCATAGGGTGGGTTTTAATGTTTTGGGTGGATTTTCATTCTAAATTGCATCAGTTTAAGGTTAGCTCTGCTCCTAATGGACGTGAGTCATATTCAGAAATTTCTATTAAACAATAATTTAGTATACCCCAAGGTATATGTTCAGGCAGGTAAGTTATGAATCAACATAAAAAGAAGTAGACATACATGGGTGAAGGTTTAAGTCAGCTCTGGATACTGACTGGTAACAGGGTAGCTGTTGATATTTCAGCAAGCCAAATTGTGTAGAAGCAGCTACACATTTTTAATTGAAGGACAAAAATCTATACGCCCTTGGCTGTTCACCCAGGTACTGAACTATGAACACTTTCTCAATAGTTCAAATGCATTCCAGCATTGACAGACTACTGAAAAATATGAAAAACTTGAGCTATGTTGTTTCATATAGTATGTGTGTAATATTTTTACACCCTAAAATCGACTTTGTAAGTTTATGAAAGCTCCTCTTTAAACATATTAAACTAGGGTAGAGAATGCTACTATCTTTGGGGTTGTTATTAATTTTTTTAGTATAAAAATTTATGACTTTTTAAAATTCAGAATTAATATTTGGGTAATTTTTTTTCATTTTGATGGTGACCCATACTCAGTGAAATGAGTTTTAAAATACAGAAATGCATATTTCATTTCAAAATGAAATGTTTGAATTAAGAACACTTAATTATATCAATTCAAGCTGCAGTGAGAACATTTTAAAGAAACAAGCAAAAGTTTTGTATTAGAAGTAATTGACTTCATAAATCCCAGTCAGGAGAATTTTGGAGTTTTCAGAGTGTTTAGTTCTAATTACATACCTGTGGGTTTTCTTACATAATCTCATTTTTAACATTAATTTTTTTAAAGTTCTTAACTAGCCAACTGAATCCCAGTCCTGAGAATCATGTTCTGGAGCTGTAGATTATTGACATAATAAACTGATGTTCTTTAAACGTGGATCTGCAAGGAGATTGTTGTACTATATTGTGCTTCTTAGCCTGTTTCCAGATGTTGATTAGCATTGACCAGTAATGGCCATTTTGGCTCAAGTTATTTATGTATTTTAAGCCTGTGAATATTGTGGCCCCCTTTTAGATAGTTTGTCCAAATTCACGTTCTGCAGTGAAGCTGTTCAGCTGTCCACATGTATAGATAATTGAAATCCTGTACTGGCACACATCTGACCGTTGACATTTTGTACCTTTTCTAAATCCAATGTTTCACAATAAAATATTGTCAAAACATTAATCTGTCCTTTAGAAATTATTCAAAAATCCATATTTTGTGTTAATCTTTCATGCTATGTCACTCACTAAAAGTCTGTGGCCAAAAGATGGGCAGAATTTAATATTTCATTTTCTGTTAAGATTACACACCTTGGGCTGTCTACAGATTGTAACAAACTAGAGCTACAGATTACTTTGTCTCATGAAAATATTTGTTTTCTAGAACAGGATTATAATATATAGAAATATTTTCCTATCGAGAAGAAAAACACATGAAGTGACATTGGTAATTTCTTTGTTCTCTTTCTTGTGTCAGGAGGATTTAAGTGCCTACACCAGCATCCTGCTGGCTATCAGTCACAGTGGCTCCTGTATTTTTCTCAGCAATCAATCTTTGTCATTCCCCTATCCAGAAGAATACTTCTAATTCAAGAATTAAAGTTCAAAACAGAAAAAAAAAAAAGAAACAAATCAAAACAAAACCAAAAAAGAAACACGCAAAACAGCCAAAAAAGCCAAGTCCAACAAGAGAGTAAGATTCTGTATCTATCTGGTCAAGGCAATTACTGAGAAGGGGAGAATCTTTTCATTTCAGATAATCTCAAAACTGTTGATGCTTTGTGTTAGGTATATTAATGAACAATATCCTATTGTAATACTAGACTGTTCTCAGACTGATTTTAATGCAAACTTGCAACAGCAGCTTTGAAGCCATTTATTTTTAAAGTGTACTTTAGGTGTGGCTTCAATGTGACACATGCAAAATGTGTGTAACTGGCCATGTAACCAATTGACTCCTGAAAAGATATTTGCATCATTTGAAACAAATTTCCTTAAAGACAATTTAAACTGATAGAACCTGTGTATAGGCATTCAGGCAGTTCTTTATGGTCTTTAGTACCTTCAAAAGTTCAGAAGCCCCACTGATTTTTATGAAAATACTGATGTTTATGATTATAAACTATAGTTTTTAAAATGGAGTAAACGCTTTTCATGTCATTTTTATTCATTCAAATTATTACTAAAATATTGGTACTGCAATAGAAGTTACATTTTCTGATATATTCTGTGCAATTGTTTTAGCTTTCCTCATGGAAGAAGTGCTGATATATGAAATTACTTCTGTTGAATCCCACAGAAGAAGTAGGGGGTATCAGACAAGGGGATTATTGAGGTGAAAGGAGGTATTTGTGGTGCTCCTGGAGAAAGGAGTAGGCTAATGGAGGTGGTAGGGTTAATGGGGAAGAGAGACTTCTGAGATGCCATGTTACTTGTTTATGCAATGTGGTGAATCACGCAGCTGGGGTTTTTTAAGAGATACATATTTTCTATATCTGTAAAATGCAGCATTGCTTTTAGGAGATTTTTGGTTTTGTTGGGGTTTGTTTGTTTTTAGCAATACTAGAGTTCAGGTTTTAGAAATTAACAGAATAAACCACTTGATTAAATTGAAACACAAAGATGTAACATCCACCTTTTAAGCAGTTAGTCATAACTGTGAAAGTCAAAAAAAACAGGCAAGACTGCAACAGATCACTCTATATCATAACCCCAGCTGGGTAATGGTACAAGTTCCACTATATGACTCCAAGTGATTATCTCTCTATTCTTACACATTAGACAGAAATTGTCTTTGAAGGTATGTCACTCAGCAGCACATGAATCATTGACATTTTCCCTTGCTTTAACCTAAACAGAAAACAAGTCTGGATTTGTCTGTTTGCCTTTGAAAATGTTCATGTTGCTCCTGGCAATTTCTCTTCAGTGTATCTCCTGGTGGGTAAAGGTAATTTTGCATTTTGACTGAAGGAGTTTTAAGTGCCATGCATGCTGATGTGCTAGGCCGGAGGAAAGTAGAGCTTTGTGAAGTGTCCATTTTCCTTCTGCTAACCTTTTCTGACTTTGGAGTACTTGGTAAGTACATTCATTTTTAATTGTCATTTGGAAAACAGGCATTCCAGCTTCTGGAGAATACTGAAGGCTAAAGTTCAACCCGCATCATCTTTGCATACAAAAGGTCAGTATTGGAGATATAAGCAGAAGACTGCTTTTATAGGGTGTTCTTTTGACTGCAGAAGGCTTGTGGACAAACAAAAATAGATTGTATTAACAAACAGATGAGAGTTTCGACCCAGGCAATCTTACTGTGGGTTGGGTCAGAGGAATGTGAAGTATTCTTCCTATGGCTCCTGTGGGTATTAGAATTTGCAAATTGATTTTTCCCAAATTGATTTTTACCTCCTGTTGTAACACCTCTCCCACTTTTTGTGTACCTTAGAGCAATTTTATTTTGAACTGAGTGCTGAAAACCTGAAGATGTTTTCCCTTATTTGAATCAACAGATAAATGTATTCTGCTTTATTTGAATAAAAGGTGTAGACCATTCACAATTTGTCCTTCATCAGGTGCATCAACTCATGTCTTTGGTTTTATTTGTAGAGGTTCCTTGGGAAACTTTTTACAACCTTCCAAAAAGGGGGAGAGCTGTAAAGCTGCATTTGCAGGAATAACTTAAACCATTGCTGAAAGGCAAACACATTAATTCAAGCTGACTCCACTGAAGCAGTCTAGTAGTGCTCATACAACCTGTTGCAGTGCTGTAGTTGCAGTGCATGTTACGAAACACAACCAGGAACAGTAATTTCAATCATTCCTTCAAGATCTACAAGGATTTGCTTGCTGGTCACATATCTGACAGGATGCAGCATTCAATAAAGTTACTATAGGCAAAGAGTCTTTATCATATCATCATGGAGTTTAAGATACGAAAGATCACGGAGATCCAATCATTTACCCAACCAAGTCCACCCCCAATCCATGTCCCTAAGTACAAAATTTACACATTTTCTGAACACTTTCAAGAATGGTGATTCCACCATTTGCCTGGGTAGCCTGTTCCAATGCTTGACAACCATTTCAATGAGGAAATGTTTCTTAACCAATATAAACCTCCCCAGTGCAGTTGAAGGCTATTTTCTTTTGTCCTATCACTTGTTACCTGGGAAAAGAGACTGACTCTCACCTTGCTATAACTTCCTTTAAGGTGGTTCTAGAGAGCAGTATTTCCCTGCCAGTCCTCCTTTTCTCCAGGCTAAATACCCGCAGCTTGCTCAGCCACCCCTCATCAGACTTGTGCTCCAGACCCTTGCCCAGACTATTGCCCTTCTCTGGACGTGCTCCAGCTCCTCAATGTCCTTCTTGCAGTGAGGGGCCCAGAACTGAACACAGGATTCAAGGTGTGTCCTCACCAGTGCTGAGTACAGGGGGACGGTCACTGCCCTGGTCCTGCTGGCCACAGCAGTGCTGATCCAGGCCAGGGTGTCATTGGTCTTCTCGGTCACCTGGGCACTCTGCTGGCTCATGCTCAGTTGCTGTTGACCAGCACTCCCAGGCCTTTTCAGCTGTGACCCAAGCGCAGGACCCAGCATCTGGCCTTGTTGAACCCTTTATAACTGGCCTGAAGCCATCAATCCAGTCTGTTCAGCTCCCTCTGCAAACTATTCCTGCCCTCCAGCAGATCAACAATCACACTCGGTGTCACCTGCAAGCTGGCAGAAGGCACTCAATCCCTTTCCCCAAATCATCAATAAAGACATTCAACAGGAGTGGCCGCAATACTGATCCCTGGGGAACCCCACTTGTGACCAGCTGCCAGCTGGATGTAACTGGTTCGTCTCCACTCTCTGAATTTGGCCATCCAGCTACTTTTTATCCAGTGAGCAGCACCTATCCAAGCCATGAGCAACCAACTTGTCCAGGAGAATGCTGTGGGAAATGGTGTCAAAAGCTTTACTAAAGTCCAGACAGACAATATCTCCAGCCTTTCCCTTATCTGCTAAGTGGGTCAGCATAAAAGGAGATCAGGTTGGTCAAGCAGGACCTGTCTTTCCTAAATCCATGCTTGTTGGGCCTGATCCCCTGTTTTTCCTGCATGTTCCAGGTGCTGCACACACGATGACCTGCTCCATGACTTTCCCCATCCCTGAGGAACGTTTCATGATCACTGTGCACAAGATGGCCTCCAAATATCTTATAACACCTGCAAATGTGGAGCGAGCACTTGGCACCTCCTCTTACTGGAATGGCACGGTGCTATTTTGCATTAAAAATTGCCTTGCAAGATGCATTTGAAAATTATTTCTTCATTCTTTCATTGAAGATACTTCAGTCTTTCTCCAGTGATAAATATGCTCCATTTTAAAAGGTGTGATTAGTACTGTGGTTTTTTTTTTTTTTTTTTTTTTTTTTTTTAGTTGGCTCTAAAGGTACTGATATGTAAAGATTTTTTTTAAGCAAGCACACTTTTGGATCATCAAAACTGATGGAATGCATCCCTTCCTTTGCTTCCTGATGCTAAATATATTAAGGGAAAACAGAGCTAAATAGGATGGCTGCCTACCTAAGATCAGCCACTAGATGCTGCTTAAACCCCACAGTGTATGGTACTGCTTTCTGTGCAGCAGCCAGCACCCACCGTGGATAGCTATTCCTGTCCAAATACAGCACTGAGGCTAAAATAAGAATATCCTGAATGCTGAAATATAGTAATTTGGAATGCTTTTTCTATGTGAGGATGACTGTGCAGTGGAACAAGTTCCCCAGCTGGTGGTAAAGTCTCCATCCATGGGGATACTCAAAAGCTACCCAGTCACGGTCCTGGGCAACTGGCTCCAGATGGCCCTGCTTGAGCAACAGGGTTGGACCAGATGACCTCCAGAGGATACTCCCAACATCAACTGTCCTGTAACTCTGAAACCTAAACAGGGCAATACTTTTGTTCCTTCATCTATTAAAATACAGTATTTTTTAATGAAAAAATAGGTAACTAACATTCTGATGTGTTCAGTTTTTCCCTCACAGTGTTCAGTTTATTTGAATAGAACATAAAAAAAAAAAAAAAACATTTTTGTAATAGGTAATTGTATGTATGATTGTTACATAACCATCAAGATAGTTTGCTGAGCTTGTAAAAGAAATAGCTTTGCATGAAGAAGCATTTCTAAAATCTATTTCTGGTA